GCAAAATCAGCAGTAACTAATTCCCAGAAAAGGTACTAAGTTACTTGGAAACCTTTAAAGCTGTTTCTACATCTGAGCTGGATAGCTGCATTATCATAAAGACATCTGTTTTAATAATAATTAGAAGACAAAATCTGATTTTATCTACTACCTAATGAACAGTGCTGCAGCTAGCCAGTAGCCAGGGATACTGCCTTGCAGATCTTGTAGTGCTGCTGCTGCTTGGCAGGGAAAGGACACTGACAGAATGACACGGCTGTAAACAGAACCAAATCCTGAAGGGAGACAAGAACCTGCTCAGAAAGCCCCTGTAAATCCTCATGGCTTCAGACAAGCTCTGATACTCCTATCTTAAAAATACACTTCAGTCAACTGACACAGAAAGTCACCGAATCATCTCCCTGTTTATACAAGGAATTTAGAATTTTAAAAGGCACGAATAGCACTCTGTTGGTGCTAAATTGCTATACATTTCCTCTTGTGTTTAGCTGCCATCTTCCTCTCAAGCTCCTGCTCCAGAACATATTTTGCCAGAAATGAGGCAATTAATTCTACTGCCACCTTTTATCAAGCACAGGTCAAGGTCCACCACGAGATTTACGTTAGAAGTACAGGTTTAGATTGATAGGAAAAATATTTTCAGCACTCAATAGCTGCTTGATGACAGAACCACCCAACAGATGGTTAAAGTGTTAAAGTGGCAGAAGCAGGAACATTCAGCATGTTCAGTACCACTTTGAGGAGGAGAGAGAGTAACCTGCGTTGAGCCTGGGAGGGCCACCCAGACTCCTAACCACTAAATTTCAGCAACAAGACATTCTGCAGAGGTTGCTGCTTGCTCTACTCCCAGTTCTGGAGGTTGATGTACAAAATATCTGTCCGCAGGGCACGGTTTATACCAGGTAGTTAGACGTCTGCTCTTACGGACAGAAAATCTCTGCAAGGCTCTTTGGTTTCATGAACACATTTCCACTGGTAGCAGCAGCAAAATAAACACAGGAAAAAAGGATTTAGAGTGTAGGCAAGGCCTTTGTCACCAAAGAGATACTTATCAGATGATTTCTCATGACATGCACAACTGCTTCCATAGTCACTGTCAACACAAATGGGCTGATAAACACAAAAACGGGATAGAAAATGGTAACAAATGATCTTAAAGGCAGTATACTAATACTTTAAGCATGCACCTAATTCAAACATGAGTGATGGAGTTGCCGGGTCAGAATCATGCAGATAAAAGATGACTCAGGTCTAGAAAAATGCATATAATCCTGCCAGCAAATTCTCAGTTCCATTCCACAGAATAAAAACAGCGATACATTCCTTTGACTGCAAATAGCGTAAAATGAAGAAAAAATCTGATCACCTCTTAGTGCTGAAAAACCTTTAAACCACCAGTCAATACATTTACTTAGGAAGAAGTTTGAAAAAATTCAATACATCAATTTTCTCATCAGCATTATGGGACTAAACCACCATTGTGGAGCGTAAACTCCAAACACTGCTGTTGGAGCTAAACTTTCAGTGCACATTTCCAACTCATGTGTTTCGAATTTACGTCTTCCCTTCTGACTCCATAAACACTCAAATTTCCATCAAACACTGATCCAAGAATGAGCTGATATTTTAGCCCTAGGAATTAATGCAAACTGTACTGTCTCAAGTTCCCTTTTGCATTTTAAGTGCCTGCAAGTAGGATTGGGCTTAAAGGGCACTATAACTCAAACTCTAACACAATTACACCCTCCTAAAATTTTTTTTTTTTTAAATCTGTGGCCACATTATTCTTGAATCTTGATATTGGCAATATGAATATTTTGATTTCATACACAGCTGCACATGTATGTATGCATGTTCAGCAATTTTTCAACACACATCCAGCTATCAGTTTAGTGCCAAGTTTAAGTGGGTCTGTCTCTCACTAAGTCAAACTGACTCAGAACTTTAAACGCATTAGAAAATGCCACTTGTCAGAGAAGGTTGGAGAATCAGTCTCAAAATAAATACCATTCCAAAGAATATTATGGCTTGGAAGAATTTCAAGAACTTGAGTCCCTGATGTCTGCAAAATGAAAAGGCCTTTGGAAATGCATTCACATCAATATTTTTACCTATTTTGAATAAAAAATATATATTATTTATAAAATAAAGAGAGCAGGCCAAAGAAGATTGGCCAGAATCACTTTATAAAACTGTTCTGTTCACTCCATAACTTAAACTTATAAAGCCTTGAAACATCTGGATAGCAGAATTTCTGGAGAAGCACTCTAGAATGCAGGTTCCAATCAGATGATACTTCATGATGTTTTCTCATCTTGAAGTTCCACTTGTTTTCTGTCCCTCAAAACTCAAGTCCATGCCAAGAGAAGGGATGTTGACTCCTGAGAGGGAAGCTGAAATTCAAATAAAGAAAAATGTGCAACTATAAGCACTGATCTGATGAGCAATAGATGGCTGTCTAATCTTGACTCCCAGCATTATTTTAAAGCCATGTGGAACAACAGGGAAAATGCTGTCTTCTCACTCCCCCAGCAGAATGGCAGTTATGTGGTCCTCACTGACCATTGGCAGAAACAGTACTTTGTGGTTTTTCTTCTCAGTGGAAGAAAATGCAATTGCATCTATAATATGCAAGCAGCCCATTTACAAAAACCTCGAGTTGCCCTATTTGTGTGCAGGACTCCGCAGTGGATTACAGTGCTTTGCCATGCAACACAGTCATTCAACACCCACAGAAAATAGAGGGGCAAATGCTATCTGATTGTTCCACCTCCTGCAAGCGAGACAGCAGATACTCCTCAAATCTTGCTCACTTACACTCCACTGTGAAAATATTTTGTGGAGACTGAAAAGGACACAGCCGGCAGCTTACTGCAACAGTATGTGTGTGGGATATCTCCCCACTATTATGAGAGTCACACAGATTACAGAGCAGTGAACATTCAGATTGCAGCATCTACCCCAAACTGCATCATCTGTTGTTGTACCCAAGTTTCTCCAGGGTGAAAAAAAAAAAAAAAAAAAAAAAAAAAAAAAAAAAAAAAAAAAAAAAAAAAAAAAAAAAAAAAAAAAAAAAAAAAAAAAAAAAGAGTAGCAGCTGATGTGGGCATTACAAGTTACTTCCATTTATTCCAAACTGCAACTTGGCTGTTCCCAAGTTCTTTTTAAGACTGTATCTGCACCTTCCCACACCTTTCATGAATCACTGAACAGACTTCCAATCCTGTAATTGTACAGGCTAGAACAAGAGTCGTTCCTACCACATTTATCAGGAGAGCTGCAGGGTTTGCACCCTCCCCTACAAACAGGGCTTTCAGCTCTTGTGTTAACTCCATCAGCATCCAGCCCGGGGCTACTGGAAAGCCACTGCTTTCTTTTAGGTTCTCTTAAACAATATATTGCTGGGTAAAATAGAGAAATACTGGTGAAATACTACCAGGCATAGATGCATCAACACCACCCTGTGGTGAGAGGTTCTGTGCTGTTCCGTGGGCTCAGAGGCCTGCTGCTACCAGAGCTGCACTGCTCCCACGCCAGCGTGCAGGTCTGCACCCCGCAGCCTCGGCACCTCAGGGGACTCTCCCTGAGCACCCACGTGCACCACTGTTAAAGTCAAAATCTGCCCGATGTTACCTACCAATGACCCTGCAAAGCGGCTGTTTTGAAGATAATGAAGAAATAAATACTGACCTTGACCTTTCTGAACAAGGTTTATACTGCTGCATTTTCAAACTGCTATGTCTCCTTTTCTATGGCAAGGGATGAAGCTTCACCAGACTCTATACAATGAAAACCAAAGTAGTTAGAGGTAAGTAAATCTGGTTTTCCTCACTGAGAATATATTTTCCACTAAGTAAGGGAGCGTGTTTTTAAGAATTATTCCAAATAAAAATAGACAACCACTTGTCAGAGATAACTGAACAGCAGTTTTTAAACTGAGATTACTCTATTATTGGCTTTATCTCTTTCATAACTGCGTCACAAGCATTAAAACCACAACGACAAATACAGATCCTTCCATTTTAATGGCACATTTTGGGCCTTCCTGCTTAGAAAATTATACCCGTTGACTTCTATTGTGTAAAAGGGAATCTGAAAACACTAAGCTTAGATCACTTCATTTGCTGATGCCTTACAAAAAAGAAAAGCAGTGTTGAGAAAACAAGGAAGAATAAAACATCGTTTGTGTCTACAGCACAGTCTCCTAAAACCCTTCTGTTAGATGGGACTGAGGGTACCAAAGCTTAATGAACCAGGAAATCATGTTCTCTGAATACTGTTGGGTTAATACAGCTGTGGTAGAAATATATGGTAAACATTTCATGCACTCATGGTAAGTTTATTATTAAACATTTTCACTTGCAAAATATTTTTTTTTTCCTATGAAGACACATTTTAGCCCAAATCTTGGAAAACTGAAAGCTGTGGAGGTCAGACTTAAGCCATATATAAGCAGCACAGAAATTTCTAGTTTTAACTTATGTTGAGGTAGTTGGGCTTGTTTCATCTGATGAAGAGGAAGCTCGAGGTCAATCTAATAGCAGTCACTAACAGTGTGGAGACTGTTTAAAATGACAACTGGCCTGAAAGCAGGTCATACCTCATATTCAACGGAAACAGGATCCTGCAACATTTTGCTCTATCGTAGAACTGTATTATTACAGTAACTAATACCCCAGAAATTCAAAGCAATTTATATGCCTGAGAAATAGGAAAGCTATCATGCTGCATTTCTCCCCACCTGCAATACATGGTTAAGTGAAACATACTGTCCTATTAAAAAATAAATCTGCAGCAGATATAGGAATAAGATCCAGATCCCAAATTCATACTTCCAGAGTTGTTTCCATGCCTGCAACAAACAAGATTTCAAAACTGGGTTGCTTTGTAGACTTCTTACACTGATCTTGTGCTGTTCAGTTTTAAGATCCAGAACTCGTTGTAAGACATGATGGTCAAAATGCAAGAACGGCATCAAGCAGTGTCAAATATCAATTTGCCACAGAACTTAAATTTTCTCCAAATGAATTTTCTCTGTGAAGGTAAAGGAAGACAAACAAAAAGGAAACACTTCCCCCTTACCGCTCAATGATACATACACAATAAATAAATAAATAAATTTGCCTAGGCCTCTCGTTTCCTTATTATGTATAAAGAGAATCAGTGCTATTGCCATTATCAGGTTATTTTCCTATTTATTAGCATAGACATCTATTTTAAGATGTAAAATCTAATACATTTATTCAGATGGGAGGTTCCAGAGAGCAGCCCTTTGTTCTGCATACCTTTAGGAAAGCATCTGATCTGAATGTCAAAGGGAACTGATAAAAGGATATATAAGACCTGCTGGCTCAGGGACATTAGTCCCATTAAAATTTCACTATCAACTTTTTATGGAATATCTTTTTTCCATCTAATTGATTTAGCAGCTGCAGATCCACGTACAAAACCATACTGGTTTTACTAAATATATTCACTAATTAATTTAGTTGAACTGATGCAGATTCCTGCACAGGTACCTCTCTATTGTTTCAAAGCTGATTACAAGGCAGTCATTGATGCAGGGTTTTGCACTGCTTTAACTTAATCTTTTTCTGTCAGACACAATTTAACCATTTATATCACGCCTAAAATCCAGAGATGCAAACCTCATCTTCTGTCCCAGTTTACTGATTGCCTGATACACCATTGTACTGTCTGAGCAATCTCTGCTCACTTCTGACATCCAAGCAGCTTTTTAAATTTCTTGATGGATAGAAATTCCATCCCTACAGTCACCACAGATGAGTTCTCTAATTAAAGGACTGCTATGCCAAATTAGCTGGTATCTCAGGACTTGAAGCTCCTTTAATTAGACTCCTACTGATTTGAATTTAAATTCAAATCACATGCCTTCAGACACCTGAAGCTTCATCACACCAAGAGGTATCAACTTCCACCTATTACTCAGGATATGCTGGTTTCTGCTGGAAAGATGTTACTTAATACAGATGACAAATTTTTGAAGGTGCAAACAATTTGGGAAAGATCTGATTCATACTGAAGCCTTTTGTACACGTTTGAATAAAATATATGATTAAATTAATAAATCAGTCCAAGAGATGAGATGTTGCTATAAATGTAAGCTGTCCTGTCCCAGGCTCCACAAGACAAAGTGTGCAAGCATCCACAGTACTGACACACCCATGACCAACATGTCAAAGACATTCTAGATGAGTTCTTTGAAAAAAATGATAACCTTACAAGCTGCCAGTTTGTGAACTGGGGTAGCTCTCTAGCTAGACAGATTAAACAGATGCCTGTGAATAGGGATGAACATTAATAAATCTGAAAAAAAATCAATTTACTATGAATTTTGAAGCAAGTGTTTTTGCCTTTGGCTAAGAAATGAAACAAAAGGTTCTCCACAATAGTTTTCTCCCTACATGAAACAATAAAAGTCTTAGCAAGGCCAGGATTAACCAAAAAAAAAAAAATTCCAACCAGGAAGGGTACATTCAAACATCCATATCAGGAAAAAAGGACAACCCTGTGGATAAGATGATTGAGACGAACGCTTGTACACTCCTGGGACCTGGATGAAGCTACCTCATCTCCTTGCTTTCAGTTGGGCTTGTCCTCTCGTCATGAATGTCCCAGTCCCCTTAATGCTCATCTCCCCCAAGATCCACATGTGAGCTGATTTTGCAGTTGTGGGAGCTTAAATATGCCTTGCTTTATGCAGACACAGAATAATCAGAGTGGAAGCAAAAGGCTGCAATAATGCTGTTAGACATACCATTACATGAAGAAATGTTTCATCGAGCTCCTCATTTTTTAAATTATTTCTGTGGTGTCTCTCTTCTGCACAAGCCTGGAGTGAGGGACTCAACTGATGAGAAGACCTCTCATTACTCTTGCTACCTAACACAAGTGCATGAAGATTTACAGATGAAACTCCAGGAGGTGAGAGACCCCACTTAAACACAAGAAGGCAGTTATTATTCTGATCTTGAGGCAGCTGGCAGTGCCATCTCCTAAAACTGCAGAACTTAAAAATCTGAACTTTCATGTCCTCAACTCCTGTTTTGCCTAATGTCCAGGTAATATGAAAAACCCAAACCTGGTGCTTTTTCTTATACAACTCCCTCTCCCCCAACAAATGTAAGAGATACACAGACATTTAATATCGTGCTAGCAGAATGGTATAGTCAAGAGCTTAGAGAAAATGCTCCATGAGATGGATTTATTCTGTATCACAAAAGTACTTACTCAAAAATATTTTATATATGTTATACAGTTGGACTCAATGATCATCGAAGTCTTTTCCAATCTAAATGATTCTATGATTACTGAATCAATCATGACCCTACCTGGTGGTCATGGAAGGCCACAGAACTTGTCAAGTGCAAGATTCAGGCAACCTTGCCTGTTGTGGAGCTTTTTGATGAAAGCGTCACACTCTGCTCCTGAAACCAGATCAGCAGCAGGGCTGAAAGCTGCATTACCAGCGTCAGCTACTATCAGTCCTACAGCACTGGCCACAGAAGCATCCAGGGTGGGGCGTCAGCTTGCTCCCCTCCCAACCACACACACTGCTCCCAGTCTCCATGTGGGATTTCTTCTTGCAAAATTCAGATGTGCAGACTGAGAGCTGAGAGAAGGATTTGCTTCTTTTTAAGAAAAATAAAGGGAAGTGGATTTCTCTCAGTGTTTGGTCTAGCAGCTGAATTACAGTTCCACATCACCAGTTTGTAGACACACAAAGGACAATCTCCTTATCTAGGGCATCATTTTATTTGTAACTCCCGCATTTACCTCACGGCCACTGCAAAAAAACTAACACTTCACCAATCATGGACCAAGATCCACATACTAACAGCTAACCATCTATTCACAGTGTGTGTTCAGCCTGTTTTATCACTTTTGTCTGTAACATTGTACAGGCTCAGTCTGGCATTTAAATTACAGCAAGATATTCCAATTTTACCAATATTACAGTTCTGCATCTTGTTGAAATAAGATTACAAACTCTTTTTTCACTGAGAAAGAGTAGTTAGAATAGGATAGAATATTTCAGTTGGAAGGGACCTACAATGATCATCTAGTCCAACTGCCTGCAAATGTAATTTATTTTATAAGCACTATAAATTGTGGGACTTCATATAAGCTCTAGATTCAGATTCTAGGGTCTGATCTGGCCAAAAATAATCTCACTGTCAAATGTTTTCATACTTAAGAATTAATGTTTTATTCAGAGAATTTATACTTTGTAAAAGTTGGAAGAAGTTCTGACTCATTCCTAAAGGAGTTATTTTTAAGCACCATAAACAATATACAGAGATGCCATATTTTGTTATCTTTAAAGCCAATTTGTGTTATAACTGCCAAAATGTATAGAACAAACCAGGAAGAACAGGTAGTTTGTAACACACAAATACAAACTAATTAAAGTAGTTAATCTGAAGAAAAGCTGAAATGAGTCCTTTAAGTCCTATTGACAAAATCCTGGAGAGCATATTTTCCCAGGAGTCTATGAAGTGTGCCTTGGAAAAAACAGACAGTGGAACAACTTAAACAAACAGCTGCAGGTAAGACCTAACCAGAGCCTGAACAGCAAATACCGTGCTGTTAGGATTAAAGAGCTCATTGCACAGTACATTGCACACGTATAAAAATGCTCACATGAAAAGACTGTTACCCCCTTTAATCAAGACTACAGTCTTCCTCACAGGTTCCCAAACATACATTGTGCACATGACTACAATGTATACCCTGAAAGGGAACATTATCAGCAAAGTTTCTGAAAACTTCTGAGGCAATAAAGAACATAACTAAGGAAATCATGTTCCTGAACAATAAGCAGTGATATTTGGTTTTCCAAGTATACTTGCTTGATTCACTAATACAGTAGCCTGAGAATTAACTAACACTTTCACCACTCCTTAAAGGTAAAAGAAGAGTGAGATTACTGTATTTCTTTTAAAGGGAACCTGTGGATGCCATCCTTGCTCCACTGGAAAAAAATATGAGCCCTTGCTTACTTTACTAACAGAATTTCTGAACCCTCAAACATGGTAAATGGTGTCTCTGACATAAACCCTGATACTGTGATACATAACGTATTTTCCAAAGACCAAAGCTTGGAGGTAAATACACAAAGGAAAAAAACCAATCAAGTTCAAACAGAGAAATGTAACAGTAAAGAATCATTAAACTAATTTTGGATCCATCTAACAAAAATCATCAAAGAATGAATACACATATAAAGTGTCTTTTTCTAATAGGACATCCACAACACAAAAGGTATGCTTACATTTCAGAAACTGATCAAATCTATTGTTCAAACACACCAGTTCACCTAGAATTGCTCTCAGCACTTATATTCCTTCTATGGAGATCAGCACATAGCTAGGCAAGCATCAAAACCAAATGAACTTCTTTACTCTTGTAATAAAGCTGAACAAACAAAGTCTAAGTAGCTTCCTAAATGTATCAATGCATTCAGGTGTTTGCATGCATGTTTTCACAAGCTCTCAGAGGATACATGCACTGTAAAAAAAAAAATCTTAGTCTTTTCATTTTTACAGGCACAACTTTATGTCTCCAGTATCTGTTCTGCATGCAGCAACATTTACATACAAATACACTCAGTTTGTGGAAATTTCAATTGCTCTCTGCAACTTGTAACAACCTCACAGTTCATTTACTTGGAAGTAGAAAGTTACTAAAAAAAGAGTTGACTCCAAAGTAGGGCTTATTTTTAGTCTGTGTATATTAGTCAAGTCAGAGCTGATCAGTGAATTAGCCAACACAATTTTTTTATTTGATTAGTTCTTATAATTCATCCATTAATCACTGTTGGTCAAGACACAACTAATTTCCTTACCATGAGGCTCTTCATCTATTCCATCATCTTCCCACTGCTCTTCATTTGCTAGGAGAGGATTCTGAGCTTCACACAAAGCTCTCATTGGGAAAAAATGTCCATCACCCTGGCTGCATGGAAAAAGTCAGAGAAAGATACTGTAAAAAGCAGTAAGTGACACTGAAGGATGACAATTTCTACATGTTTTATCTGCAAAGTTTTCTATTGCTTGTATTTCCAATGTTTACTTAAAATTATCTTTAAGTTCTAGAAAATACTGTGTTCATTTTTTGTGGCACCTCAGATACCAAGCTTTATTTGTGAGTAATTTTGGTCCTCAATTCCTTCAAGCTCTTTAGAGAATAAAAGTTCAAACCTACAGCCTGGAATGAAGTAATTTTAAACAGAACTTAAATGTGCCTAACTTGATCAAGTCATAGGTCACAGGTACAAATTTTCTCATTTTATGCCATAGATTCTTCAGGGCAGAAATTACACTTCTGTGTTTGAATGACATCCAACAGAAAATTGCCCCAATCTTAGTTAGATGTTACCAAAAAACAAATAAAAGACCCACTTTCCTGTGACCTAAACCTGGACACAAAATGAAAAAAAAACAACAAACCCAACAAAAAAGTCTCTGCAAAGATCTAAATTTGCAAAAACTGTTTTTTGCTTTACTATTAACCAAATAGCAATGCATATCTGGGTATCAAACAAGAGTTTGAGAGTATGTTCAAATTCATGTAATGCAAACTAACAAAGTTAAAATCTAGATGTTCTAGCTTGGTCTGCAGCATACTGCATTCCCTAACATCCAGCAGCAGAGACAGAGGCACTGTAAACTACCTGGAATCCCTTCTTCCTTGGATTTATCTTCTTGCAAGGAAAATGACCTGAGTGTTCTCCCTGCAATGACTATATGCACTGGTAAGGTGCCTCTGGCTAGCTCTTCAGTGCTGCCTTTCATTGCATTTTTATTCTGGGCTGAGCTCTCCCCTTTCACTATACTTAAGAATGGAAAACAGATGCAGTGGGGATGGTACTGGGACTTAAGACTAACACATTGCTACTTGAAAAAGTTGTGAATTGCTGTGCCAGGAAGTTATTTTAAATTGTGCCCAATTACTAAAGGAATTAAATTCCAGTGTACTTTACTACTGGTCTACTAAGTGCCAGAACAACATTTTCCCCTACATTAAGAAACATGAACTCGGTTTCAGGCAGAGCCATCTGACAGATGAAGAGAACAGCATCTTTGAAATGAATGCCCATCCTCACATGGGCCACAGGAGTCCAGGAAGAGTGGAGCACATTTAGCCCTCAAAAACTTTTCCCTTCCAGACTTCTGGTGAACAGGATTAACACTGATGTTTGATGGTGCATTTACAATGATGCACAATAGCAGTTGGCCACACAATAACAGATGTAACACATGAGGGTGTAGCAGGCATTTAGAAGTCAGTCCCTCCAGTAATTGTATCAGCTTTTAGCACTGACTTGATTATTACTTACCTAGAGGCAATAGGTAGTAACCAGAGCTTTTTTTCTTCTCCAAACACTTGCTGAAGATTCTTTACAAAGCCAAGATTGAATCCATTTTTATCTGGGCCATTTTGAAACACCGGAGCTGAGAATGCCTCTACATACAGATGGAATTTCAGTGAAAAAAATGAAAATCAATGCCATATACTCTGAAACAGGATTGTGCATGTTGTAGCCATCTAAACATGATTTAACAGGTTATGAACTAGCATTACACAAAGTCTGAAAATAATAGATTTTTAATTTTGCAAGCCTGTAAAGACTTTCAAACTGAAGGTAGGAATTTGGTTTTGCAACTGAACCATATGGAACACACAAACTGAACTACAAGTGGTTGTTTAGTCTAGAGAACAGAGTTAAAAAGTCTTCATGTGAGACTTGTTGAAATTCAGTGGTTAGAAATTTCTAAGTAGGTTGGTCTTTAATGCATATTTCAGAAGTGGCACTGGACATTTAAAATGCCTCATTCATTACTGATATAATGAACAAGCATTAGGAACAAACATACGTCAATAGACCCCTTGTTGTGGTGAGACATATAATTAAGAAAAGAGAGGGTAGGAAAACCTAGATTGCACTAGGAACAATTTTATCTAAGCTGCTGCAGAGGTCTGATGTTTTGGGACAGATGAGATTTAGTGCCCCATGAAATAAATTTTAAAGTTAATAACTATACAAAATATGAATATTTGCTCAAACTCTTAATAGTGTGTGTTTTATATAAAACTTTATCCAAAAACTTTGAAAAATTGAACATTTATCTGAGGAAAGACAAAGAAATCACTTGATAAAATGATACTGTTTCAGATCTTCATTTCATTGGTTTTACAGTCATAAATTCTTTGCCTTTGTCAGAGATGATGGACACTCTTTTTGCCCAACCTTACTAAACTGTTTTAGGATACACTCCAGCATATGAGCATAAAGAACCATTATTCCTCAAAAGCTGCACTCATTTCACAGCAAATGTAGTTATACATATGCATAACATTTTTATAATTGGACTTTTACACTTTAAGGCTCTCATTTCCCTAACAAAGCTTTTGTCACACCAGCTAATAAATGCAGCTCATTTGAAGTGACAAATTTCTGCAGGATTGTGCCAAGATCTTAAAACTTCCTCCCCTCATAAGCCAGCAGGAATGTACAGAAGTAGAACAAAAATGCCATTATTTTTTTCTTCTTACAGCACTTACCTAAAGTAGATCTGTTTCTACTAACGAGCCAACAATGGTAGCCAAATAGAAACATAAGGCTTACAAAGAACATGACCGCCACGAAGAGAAGGAAAAGGACATGAAATTTCGAACGTCCATTAGTCAGTTCACCCTGGAGAGAAAAGCAACATAGAACAAGTGGTAGGAGAAAACAAGAGCTGGAAATTCCTTGCTTCTAGAGAGAAGAAAGATAGCCTCCAAAACTCCTATCTAGAGTTCTCAAACTTGTATACACAAAAGTCACACACTACTATAAAAAGCCAGAAGGGACAAAGAAATGCTCTGATTCCTTTGCCCTCCTGTAACCAAAGCAGGAGGTGTGGGGCTTTGCTACTGGCTCCTCAAATGTAACAGAGCCAGCCCAATCACAGCTTCCCACTCAGGCACAAGAAACATGCCTTGTGCCCACAGGGAAAGAAGCAAGCACAAGCTCTTGAAGACCTGTTTATGTTCTCCTGGGTTTCCTGTGCACATATGAAAATTCTGCCCCTTTTGCCCTAGAAGGCACGCCAAGAAAACCCGGCCTTCATAGCCACAGCAATCAGGTAGCTTTAGAACTGAGCAGAGATGGTTTGGAAAAGTTTAAAAGCCAAGTGGGATCTTACAAGCAGAAGAAACACTTCTTCCCTTCTACAGGGGAAGAGTCAAGTGCCAGAGGTCCTCATAAGCACACATCGACAGAGAGGCTGTGGGGAGCTCGAAGTTAAAAATTACTTCTCAGCCTTTGCTCATGCCATCTGTGCAGCCACAGAGCTCGTCTGTGTGCCTTTCTTAGCATAAGAAACTATTCCTGCTACTGTCCCACCAGCATCCCCGGAGGCAGCTTAGGTAACTGATTAGCCATTAAAACAACAGAAATTCAATAAATTAATGCAGAGCAAAGTTAAGTTACTTAAACACAGTCTATACAGAGTTAGCAGCAGAGGGGATGTAAAAAAAACCTAGAGACGGAAGGCCAGACTCTTACAGGAGCTGTCAGTGGCATTGCTGGCATATGAATGACAATCAGGAATTGAATGAGAAGCGTACCTTGTTACCGTCAACTTTTAAATTGAGAAAGAAGTCATGTGGGGATTAGAAAATGAACAAGGCTTTTTGATATTTTCCAATAAATATGTACAGATCAGTGTCAGTATGTTATACACTGATACCAAAGATTGTGAGATACATGCATGCAAACACAAGACCAGGTAAAGGATATATCTTCTTTGCCAGAAGCTAACCCTACAATTTGAAATTCCAGAAGTCTATTTGCCTCTTGCTTTGTGCATTTCAGACATATAATGGGAATTATACTTAAAAAAAGGGCACAAGGAAATAGCTTACACAAGAAATGCAGACCATCTCTCAGGGGAGACTGAAAGCAAAAAAGTACCAAGAGTGACTAAACCCCACCAGACTCATAGGATATGAAAAAGTAACCAGGTTTCACAACTTACTGTCCAATACTTAATGAAATACTTGAAGACTGTTGCAGCAATATACATGCAATACAACAAAGCATAGGCTAAGAACAGTAGAAAGAATTTGTAGTTAGAAAATCCAATGCAGTTATTCACCCTAGAGAACAAAAGCAAAGTTGAAGTCAGGGTATGTACAGCACACGGTTGTAACACAATGAATTGTACAGTTTGGGGGGTTTTATTAAGCCTCTTGATTCTACAACGTGATTTCCTCAATACATAGCTCCCCTTAGTGGTCAAAATGAAATAGAACTGAAGTCTCTGCTTTTCACTTGACCGCTTCTTGCTATGCCAAGTAAAAGGACAGTTCACAATTTTGGAATCTGCTTTAAAGTTGGTGCCGCAGGTGAACTTGTCACAGAGGCAGGCTCTAATTACTCGTGACTGTTTCTTGTCTCCAAAGGTAACGAGATCTGGGGTGTCTGTGTTACTTGATCCATTTGCAAAACTCAGCAGCCAGATTCACCACTGCTTGTTTGTTGACATACAAACCCAATAAACCCAAATTTGATTGTAATTCTCCATGCACAGGACAACAGGACAACTCTAGAAAGGAACAAGGGAGTGCAGACAAAAATAGTAGGTATTTGCCTCAAAACTCCCGTTTGAAATATCCCCTACAATTTAGGACTACCAGGGAGGTTCAGGTGGGGAAATGTTTGTGTTGCCTCTGATTTCTGAAACCTTCTTTTTCAAAAAAAAAAAAAGAAGGAGTTTAAGAAATTTAGTGGCACCGATTCTCAAAAAGTATAAAGCTTAACTCATCCATGCACCAGTCTATACAAACTGTCCCTGACTGTGCACAAGTGACAGGCATCATTCCAGAAACAATCTGTGTGCAAGTCTTTTTATTGAAAGCAACCACCAACTGCAGGCTGAAACGATTATATACCCAAAGCAGTGGGGCTTTAAATTGTATTGATAAAACAGCTCTTTTACACATAGCCCATGGAACAAACACAAGTGATCTGGCTTTCAAAACACCAAATATTTCAGGCAATTTCAAAGTGGAATTATTTTATAAATTTCCCAGCATAATGGTCTAAAATGAGAGAGGCGTACAGTGTCTGTTCTGTGGCAGAAATGTATTTAAACAACCTCTCTTTTCAGAAAAGTACAAACCAGTATCTAGAACATACCACGGACAGTGATGATCCATTTTTAGCACGCATCTGCAAAGGGACAAAAAAGAAAAATCAAAGATTTATATTTGGTACTTAATTGACAACTGCAGATCAATAGCAAAAGCCTCTAGTTTTTGTGAGATTTCTACACAACACTATCTCAAGATGATAATATCTCTTTGAATTTTTTAAGGTAGGTATCATTTAAAGATGGAACATTTATTATTTTTCAACAGCAACCAGTGTTCTTGGTATTCTGCCAGATAAAAAGACATGAAAATAAATTCTGCCCTAGAGGGCTTAAAACTTTGTTTGGAATATTAAAAAAAAAGTCAAAACCATACTTCAGTTTAACCTGCCTAGGTTAAACAGTTAATTTTCACTAGATGGCACATGCTTTCTAGCGACTTAATGCTGATACCCTTGTAGGTGTGGGAACAGCAAACACTTCAGGGCCACAAATAGCAGCAATGCCCATGGTACCGCTGTCACACACCAACATCCACTGCTGACTGCAGCTGGACCAGAGGTACTCAGGCACCTTTCCGTGTAAAAAGACACGTGGAGGACCAGACCGTTCACATAACTCAGCGGTGACGATATTCACTTCAGTGAAAAACAGTCCAGGAACTTACACAGCACAAACGGAACAATGGTGACAACGATCAGGTTTTATTAGCTGGCACCTATCACAGAATCGAATACCTGAAATTAGAGGCACATTAATAGCAAAGAATAGAACAGTGTTCTTTTCACATGTTAGTTAACATTCTGCTCGTTTCCTAACTATCCGTGTTCTTCCCTCTACCACTTCAAAAGATGAGTGCATTTGCAGCTGAGTTTTGCTGCCAGGACATAATCAGATAAGCAATGCTCAGAATTCTCCTGGAGACCTGCAGATGTGGGGAACAATCCTCACTGCAAAGCATAGAACCAGCTTAAAAGGGGTACAACAAAACTGTACATTTCCCTCTGGCTTCCACATTTACTCAGACTTTACGTACATTCCATTTTGGTAATTGCCTCTATAGCAGCTTTTTACTTCAGAATTCTCTGGCTTCTCTGACAGAAATTAACACATCAGAGCCTCCAATATGAACATGGATTTCTTCTAATCTTTGAAATGAGCACAGTATGCATTCAGTCACAGAACAAGGTCCAGAAATCTGTTCAAATAATTATGTCCTGAATCTCTAAGATAGACTCCTTTTCAAGTAAAAACAACTAAGGATTTTGTCACTATTACTATTTCTAAACACATACAATGTAAGTAGGGTTTTAAACTGTAAATATATATTCGTTCTCAAAGGCAGCACTTGGTACTCCACTTGAATGGAAGTGTTCAAGGCTCTTTTGTTTTCCCAAACATAAATCCTGAACGAAAATGCACTAAAATTATTTGCACAAGAAGTTACACGGTGCATGCAGTGGCTTTAGGAATACCCTGTTGGTCGGCAGTATCATCCGAATTGCCAGCATATGCTACTTTAGCATGCTTGATTAGTTTGAGAGAAACAAAACTCTCTGCTTAGCTGACCTCCATTCCCTGTTCTGGTGTAGACCGGCAACTTCCTTGCAATTTCGGCGAGAATTTGCCTTTGCACCTCTGGCCTTTCTTCATTTTCATAGCGTTCTTGGTCAGCATAGGACATATGATACTAGAAGCAGAAGTCACGAGAGGAGCAATTACTCCTGGTAGCAGAGATAATATTTCAAATACAGATGAGTTTGGACACATTTCAACTTTCAGATCATTTTAATGAGAATAATCTAATGTGAAAATGTGTTAAGAAGACAGAGATAGTATGTGCTGGACAGCCAGAATACTATGTGACACATCAATAAAAAATGCAAAAGTGAAATTAAGGGTCACGAAACAACATACTACAATTGCTGCTACTACTACTGCCTTAGATTACTATTTTTCAAGAATAACATTACTAACCATGAAGCACTTCCATTGTGAGCAAGAACCTGTCCCCAGCCACAGTTTTATGCTAAAACAGGGAGTAGTTTTTAATTTATAAATTTACAATTCTCATAATTAGGATCAGATTATGGCCATGTATATTTGGAGTGCCACACAAGCATCATTCTCATTCAATTGCTCCAAACACAGTGTTCCATTAGTATCTCACAGAGGTAAAACAGAACTCAAAAAAAAAAAAAAAAATCCACCAATCTGAGCAACATGAAGAAGTAAATGTTTGGTAGAAAAATAATTGAAACAAGTATCTGCTGCTGACTGTTGTGTGCTCAAACCACTAAATCATACTATTGTCCTAAAATGAGCCCCCATGTTAAAAAACCCCATGCCAAACCCTTAACTAAATTATTATTTGTGAAGAATCTACTTTTGTCACAATGAACCCCAGTTTCTCTTTACAATAGCATATTGTTACATTTCTCTTTCCTGATTCTGCTGTCCAGGGAAGTACAAGGACTGGAGCTACTTGTGCTCTGTGTATACTTGGAACCAAATCAAAAGCCATATGCTATGCACACAGCCACAGTCCCCACTGCCACAGACATGTGACATCAGAATCTCAGCATGTTTTAAAGGAAAATGATTCTTCTAACCCTCACTATCACAAGAAAGAGCCTGGCAAAGGAAGCAAACCGCCACTACAAAGGGGCCTATTCCAGCCAGCAAAGGGCTCCCAGCAGCGCAGGCAATGCTGGACCTTGGTGGGACACAGAATGTTCACACACGCACCACAACCATCTGGCTCAAGAGATCAAGAAACCCCTCTACCATTGCAAATGCGCCTGTTTCCACCTGCACTGTAACATCTTCCATGAAGAGTGAAAAACAAAACGGAAGGTCCTTACTCAGGAGACTCCAGTAAGGCTAGGTTAAGGAAGGTCCTCAGGATTTGGCTTGTAACTTGTTAAATGCTTAGAGATCAATGACACTAGAAATATGGAAGTTAATAAGCATCAATATTATTATTCTCAACATGAAAAATCTTATCGACTCCTGGAACACCTGAAAAGGCAGCTTTAAGTTAACACTGTCTCAGATTTAAACCATGCTCTGTGGGGAGTTAAAGGATTCTCAGAACACTAAATGACTCAGTTTTTATGGACAACTCTAGGTCACTTTCCATCTCGTTAGGAAATCTGATCAGTTGTCCAGATCAACCAGATTGAAGGATTTTTGAATTTTCTTTAGCATCCCTGCTTTTATTCTGCAGTGAATGAAAAGTGCTTGGACTCTTACCTTTTTGCCTGGCTGCACTGGGAGAGTAAAAATAGACTTCCAATATGTCCACACAAAGAGCACAAAGAGAATATGGAATATTACAAGATAGGCCACTAAAAAAAAACCAAAAACAAAGAAAGAACAGAAGAAGAACAATGACTTCTTAAGTAAAATTTTCATTCATGAGAGGCATAATTCTAATCTTTCACAACAATGATCATAGAAAGAAAAAGAACAATTTACAGTACCAACCAGTATTACAATCCAGCTAAACCTTATGGTCACAGAGGCAGTAAAGTTTCAGAGATCTGTTGCTGCAGTTGGGGGCTACCCATCTCACAAGTCTCTCCTTCTCCACCTGATCCAATTCCGTGGATGAGGAAGAACTAAGCTATAAGAGACTTCAGCCACAGGGGAGGGGGCAACCTTGTATCACTGGGAATGACAGGATTCCTGTCTCTTCCCCATACCCTAGGCACAGGCTAGTTCTGTTTTGAGCTGGCTGGTGCTGGGCAGCAAAAAGGTTATACTGCAACACTCCAGCATGTCCAGCTTCTGTGTTCAGCTGCTACTAAATGCACTTAGAATCACAGCACCATATTACCAGTGTACTGTCCACCCATGCAATGCATTCTTCACCCCTTGTGAGAGCTGAGAACATGCTCTAGCAGAGCTTTACATCACCAGAAAAATCATATCTATCTTATGAAACATATTTTAGATTTGCCACAGTTGATACAACAAAACAAATCAGGAAAACATTCCTCAAATTGAGCAAAACAGGTCTTGTGATTACTGAGAAAGAATTGTAATCCACTAGGCACAACAGTATCATGTGAAATCCAGCCTGCGTCAGAGTAATCTTATTTCAATACGCAAAATTTATTTCAAAGCCTTTGAGTGTAAGCAAGAACACTGTAGTTCAGAAAGCCAAAGGACAGCTGTCCTTTCGCTACACAAACTATTTGATTGTTATTTTTTTTAATACTCGGCTCACTAACACATTATCAAACAGTTACAACAGTTTTGTTTAAACACACCATTTAATCATAACCATTACCTCATTTCCCCATGTAATCTAAGATCAAAATTCTAGCAAACTCAGATGAAAGTAACTACAACTAGTGGAAAGAAGTCTAAAGTCCAGACACTATCTAATCTCTCAGGCAAGACTGTGTGAAAACATAATTGGTAAAAAGGCCAAACACAGCTTTGAGACTTTCTAATGAGACATCAAATGATCTGATGATACACCTCACAACGATGTGATGGATTGTGTGACTGATCTGTGAATCAATTATAATTCATTACTATGCTCTTATGTTTGTTTGAGATGTTATACTACGTGCAGGTGGAGCTCAGTCATTTTTAAATTAATATGTAAGGAGATAAATCTTGCAACAGGTTTAAGTTTGTTGATAAAGCAATACAGTAGCACGTTAGAGGAAGCTGACCTGGAGATGCACTAATAGATTAGGTAACTAATCTTCTTCTGAATAATCATTAACAATCTGCTTTCTACAGTTTCTCTGTAACAGTTACAAGTATTAGGACAGGTCTCTAATGGAAAGAGAATTTACTTGATGCAGCAATCTGAAGGGTCTTTAAAGTATCAGCCTTCATGGGACAATTTGCCAGATGAAAATCGCTACACCCACTTCTAGCCCAGAAGAAATGAAGGTAAGAGGCCATCTGTATCAGCCAAATGCCTCCAAAGCACCTCCAGGAAAGAAGAGGAGGAATACTAAAATGGCCACTGACCCCTTATCCTTAGAACATGACTGTAGCCTCCAACAATGCTCCAGTGGAAACAGTCTCATCCTGTGATCCTGCTGCTCTGCCTGACTTGTTCAGCAACCTCACCGTACTGTGCCTGGGACCTCAGGACAATGTCAGACTGTACTACCACATGGATCTGAGAAGTGTTGAAGAGAAACAATAATGAGACAGAAACCTTTGCTGTAACTCATCTATGGTAGTAACTGTAAATTACTGTGCTACCACACTCAATACATGGTTAGTGGTCAACAGAACCAAGCAAAAAATCTTTTTGCAAAAGCCTCCCTACAAAAAAATATTAAAAATAGATTTCACTGAAAGATCAAATAAAACAGTGAAAAAACCCCAACAACAGGCAGGTCACAGAACAGTACTAGTCTCTTCTGTTTAGCTTGTAAAATCAGCTCTGAAAACATAAAACAGAAAGGGAGAAAAGGTATGTGGGTGTATACAGAGAGACAACTCTTTCAGAAAAAACTATGTATAAGGGATGAAAGCTTTTTCAGGTTCTCCTGCTTATACTGTGACTAAACAGAGGCATTTCTCAATACATCCAAAAGTTATAGCATGTCTAACAATGCATACTGTATACTTCATGATGCATAATTACAGGAAGGAAACACTGAAATCAGAGTCTATAAGTTTAAAAAAAACTGATGGAAAGTATTTTTAATATTTTAACTGGAACATCTGTGAATCTTTTTACACATTACTGAATGACAAATAGTAAATTGAATGCACCTACCTTTTTCCACAGGGTTGCTCAGAGTCACTGAAAAAGAAAAAAACACATGTCTACAGAGCAAATAGGATTCCCAGTAAAGTTAGTGATAAACAATGTTCTTATTTGAAATACAGCCATTTTAGGGAAAAAAGTTCAACAGACAGGAGGAGAGCCCACAATTTAGCATCAAATCAAAAGCATCCATAACAATTCCTTGTTTACTCATGCAAACAAACCAAAAAGTTATTTAATAACTGTTACTTATGTTCTATTTTCCACGTTATAAAATATATGCTGTATATTTTACATTAGAAATATGACAAAAATAATCCACTGGTGACAGTGATGTGACAAGATTACTAGGGCTCCTCTAGCAACCACCCAAGCAGCATCTCTATGCATGTACTTTTAAGTATGCACTTGTAGCCTGCTTTGTACTAGTCTCTAGGTGGTCTTGATCCTCTGCAGTAAGTCATGCCCCAATGCATTTTTGCATCAGTATACATAAAAAATTACAAATTGTCTCAGCTTTGGCTTAGTCAGCAACAAAGGATACACTGTAATGACTCAACTATTTTTACACTTCCTACTAGCAGAGTTTTTACATCCCCTCCTTACTTTACCATAATCACAGGAACAGTCCCTGCTAACAGAACCACATAGAGCAACCAGCAAAGGGTACACGGCTCAATGTCTACTTTTACTGATTATTTTTAAATCCATCTATTATTCTAAAAATCATCATCCAAGTTTAACAAAAAAAGATAAAGACATATTTCTTTAACTGAAAATGGAGCAGTTCTATTATATCTTGACAGAATACTGGAAGACAAAGATCGTTCATGAGATGGGAGCCCCTTAGATTGAGTCCACAGCCTTGAATCTATAGGTTACAACTGATATGTGTTCCTCCTTGGAGGAAATGAGGAATGAAGGGAAACCAGCGGCCACAGATCATCTCCCAGAGGCACAGTACTCTTACACAAATAAGATCACATTGTTGAAAGACTCAAAGATTTGAGAGATTGCATATACCAGCAGTGACCCCTTCAGTAACTCTGTTAGAATACATAAAAAGAAGTGATTGAGGGATCGGAGCCTTTTACTTCTAGCCTACAGCCAGCATCTGGAAAGAGACTCTGCTCTTCAAGACTCACTCTATCATATCTTACTTGAATAACAAACTTAGAAAATGTAAATCAGATTAGGAACCAAGAGGTCCTGCTTTTACTAATGAAAGTAGCTTTTCTTAAAACCATGTGAACAAATAATTTTGATCTGCAAGCTCTATGATACACAACAAGGTAGATGAAAAGAAGAGATTAAATGCTTGCTGTGTCTCTGCACACTCAGTTTCAGATGAACAAGACTACTAGGAAACCTTTAGTTTTTCCTTTGGTTTGCTGCAAATCGAACTACAAAGAGTACATCAGCTTTTCACAAATACTGCTGGGTACCCCTCTGAAGTATGTGTCACACCTGCAGCATGGCCTTTCTCAGGATTTTAACTGAGAAAAGAGCAAACTCCTAAATAAATATTATATAAAGGTTTTTATCATAGGACATTGGATCATTGTTCAACCAGAAACCGGACATGAAATCAAAGCCTCCTCTGGAATGCGACTTGTTGGCCATATCAGTCACTGAAAGTTTAAAACCCAGCATTATGAGATACCTCTAGGACATCACTCCCATAGTAGTTTCAATGCTCAGCAGTCTGCACAACCAAAAACAAAAATCAAGAATCCAAATAGAACATCTACTATTTACATGCTTGCGACAGCTGAAATGGCAATACACAATGGAAACGTGAGGAAAAAGAAGCCAACACAAAGTCTTGCTATATTACAAATCTGGAAGAGAGATAATATCTTGAGAGCTAGTTCTCAAGTAACTGCATATGCCAACATTTAATGTTCAAATCCTAAAATAATTAATTTAGTCATTTCAATTTCTGTATAGATAACCTCCTCCACACACAAATAAAATGCATGACTGAGAAAGATGGGGCAAAAAAATAGATGGGTGTGGGCACAGAAGTGATTTTAAGCTGTGATTCTAGGCAGTGAGATGAGCTCCTGCCAGCTTAACCAGCATTTACAGAATAACACAGGCCCAAGCTAAACCCCACTTAAATCAGCCAAGTCTTTCCTAATATCTGCACTGAGACTTGGAATTAACCAATGTTAAATATTACTGAATTTGCACACCACTACAAACAAAGCATATTTCAAAAGACTGACATTTCAGGAAAATACTCTAAATTTTCTGTCACATGGTCTAATTGTTATATGCACCTTGGAGATATCATTCCATATGAATTCTTGAAAGAAACAGCCCACAATCACAGAAATGGAATAAAATGTCATGAAGTATTTGTTGGTTTTGCCTAGCTGTCAATTAAAGCAAAGAAGCTGCATTTCATTTTAGTCCCCATCAAGAAAAAAACAATAGGATTTCCTGCATTGGCAACCCTAATAAAAATATCTGATTTAAATTTGCTGTGCAGTACCAGAAGGCAGCTCCTTTCACAGAAGTTCTGAGAACTTTGGCTTCGTTTATCTGACTTATCCTATCTTGAAGAGAAAGGGCCACATGCTCCTCCTCAAAAGTCCAAGCTACCAGCTTTTCTCTCCACCCTCAACCAGACCTAGAAACCCTTTCCTCTAGTAATAGGTTTTTGCACACACAGTAAATCAGAACATAATAAGAAAGTTTGCATCTTACTATATAAATTGCTACATTAAACTATACACTTACTAGCTAGTACCAAAAATCTGATTTCCATGCTACTGTAACAAGTTCCTTGACTCATGAGCATGGTTTAACATAACCTATTTTTTTCATTTTCAGAATATAAGAAAATTACTGCAACGGAGGGCATATATTGATTTTTGTCACTGCTTAAACCAGAAATCACATCTGAACATCATCATATGGCAACAATATGGACTTTCCCTGTGGGTATAACTCTCCCAGTCTTCACAAACGTCATTTCCCCTGGCTGGCATGAGGACATAGAATACACAGACTCGTGACTAAGTAAAGGAAATCGCAAAACCTAGCCAGCTCAGCTAGGATACAAATCTTATGGAAAAACAGGGCAGCACACCATAAAAATCCCACTAATTAACCCCATCACAGACTTGACTACTAATAAAGTGTTTCTTCATATCCAGCCGGTCGCTTTTGGGTGTGTCTAACTGCAGTTACAGGCGTGATTCGAGCATGTGGAAACATCTGCCAGCTGCCAGGCGTGCTCGGGTTTAAGGTTCAGGTATCGGCCGCACCTGAGCCGGCCCGCCAGGCGCCAGCTGGGTGCGACTGCAGGGGCTGGCAGAAACATCGCTTCCTCCAGACCACACAGGAAGGGGAAGGAAGAGAAAGGGGAAGAAAAAGAGGAAAAAAAGGAGAAACCCTCCCGCCGCCGTCGAGATGTGCTCGAGGCTGTGCGTCCTGCGGGCACTGGGGCCGCCTGAACCGCCGGGCCGAGCAGGACTCCCACCCTGGGGGCCCTTACAGACCAGCACCGGGAGGGCAACGCTGCCCCCGGGAAACGCGGGCTCCTGCGGGGAGC